AAAGAGGTATGCCGTCAATTCTACCAGAATCAGTTTTGTTACTGACTACAACTACTCAGCCCCAACCCATACCTACCAACCTGTCCAAGGGCATTAGCGGTAGTGTTTTACCAAACCCCGATTGTTTACCTGGCTCGACGTATTACTCCCCTTTGAGTTCCATGGACCTGCAAGATATTAAAAATGATCGTTCTCTCTCCGCGTTATACTACTTCCCAAAGCAACTCTCTCCCCATCGATCGATGTTTCTTCCAGGGGTTATAAAACCTGCAAGACAGCTCACTAGTGAAGATCTAGCTCGGAGGGGCCGAGGACATGGCCGAGGGGGCGGTATGGATCGTGGCGGTCGCGGACGAGGTGGTTATCAGAACGGCTCTTACAACAATGGACATGGGTATGGCAGCAGCCATGGCCAATCACAAACTCCGACATCATACGTCTCCTCGTACACCACCACTCAGTCTCGAACACCGTACACTCAAGGACCCCAGCAAGGATTCGGAGGCTATGGCTCCAATGGACGGCCACCAATTCAAAATTATGGTAATAATTATCCTGGTCAGTCGCGTGGTGGTCCACCCCCTCGAGGAGGTGCCCCTCCCTCGCGTGGAATGCTACCAAACCGCGGTGGTCCTCCCCGTGGCGGCCCTCCTCGTGGCGGTAGTTCCGGGTATGGAGGTTCTACGTCCTATACTCAAACCGCTCATCAACCGGGATATGGCCGTGGAGGCTACTCTGGTGGGTACGGTGGCAGCAGTGGAGGGTATGGTGGACAGGCGAACAGTGGCTACGGGGGCTACGGTGGGCAGGCAAGCCGAGGTGGCTATGGTGGTTCAGGAGGACAAGACAACAGCGGCAGTTACATGGGTTATGGAAACCAGAATGGCGGACAGGCTCGTGGTGGCTATGGAGGTGGCTACAATGGAGGAGGTTATCAGAACCCTTCGAGGGGCCGAGCCCGAGGATTCTAGAGTAACTTATTTGCATACTACCTCGTTAATATTTTCCTTGGCAGATACTTTGTATTTTAGACCATCGATATATATATTTCTCTGCTTTCTTTCTGATTCTGATTATACCAACAAGTGTTCCGTTTATCTTCGGGAGGTGGGGCGTATTGTCTCATGAATTATAATAAGATGTGTCTGTACACTATGTTCGCGGTCGTCTTTTCCTCACCGTCTATTGCAAACCGTGAGTGCTCGAATGGATCACTCGATCACAAGTAGAGACATAGGAGATCGTCGAGCGCACAGCGCTTGGCTGATTGGGAGTCCAGGCGGAGCTCAGGTGGAGCGCAGACAGGAGTGTCACGCGGATTGCTTCCGCGGGATCAAACGTTTGGCTGTACCGCCCTCGGTGATATGAGTCACGGGGAACACTCAGATGACCAACGAATACTCCCTGGTCCTATTCAACTTACGTGCGCCACAAAATTTGTAATTGAACACGCAGCTCGAATTTCCAATGTACTTGACAAATTTTTGTTGAGATCTGAGATCTCGAGACAGAGCTGCGCCCAAGATTACGTCATTCCGGCTGAATCCGCTCTCCCAGGATCCTGCCCAACCACTCAAGGTCTCCAATTAGGTACCTCGAGGTTTATTTGATGAACTAGTACCAGTTCGTTCCATGTCCGTCGTTGAAACATTGACATCTCATCCTGTAATGCATTCCTGACCTCGTGTTGTCAATTTTCTGCATGACCACGCACCCACGATACATCGTCCCGATCCCGACTTTTCCATCGGGTTGGAAATATTCTCTTTGGCAGGCCAAGTGGTGCACAGGTCGAGCCGCACAAACATAGCTCAGCAGTAGTCGACGTCCCGTAGTATGCCAAGGGCAACGTATGCTCCCGTCTTCCTTCGCCAGTGTTCGAACCCATCTATGATATCACGTGGAAAAACGCCTCAGCAAGAAAAACCAATCTCAAAAAACGCTGCTGAAAGCAGTTCGCACCTTCCTAATGGCAATGTCACACAACGTTCCAGCTCAGGCTCGTCTACCACACCTCCCGTCGTCGCTACTACAACTTCAACTAATCCTCGTGTAATGATAAATCGCGCTAGATGCTGGACTCCCTTCTGGCTCTTTATCTGTCGTGCATTCACCGAGTATACTGTCGGTCATCATTACATCATAACATCTCTCCCGTGACTCGGACGTTATCCCATCCCTTGAGTACAAGCAATGGTAGGAATGACTGCTTTCCTTCTCTTGTGATCTCACTAGGGGAAACTAATACAATGGAGGCACAAAGCTGTTGTTGCATACTTTATACGGGTAGAGAGGTTAAACTAATCATCCGTGGTTGGCCGGATTGAGCCTCGTGTAGATATCCCGGCTATCATTGGCTCTTATAGTAAGTCTCATTCCTTGTTCGCAACACAGTGGCGCAGACATAGTGGAATACCATGGCATATTTGACAGCAGCCAGTTGTTTCTGACTGGGACTGAGACATTCTTTTACAGCCAAAATCAAAGGCACAGCAGCGGTCGACCGTGTCCACGATTTTATATCGATATTCATGTCCTAATCGCCTCCCACACCACACGCACTTCCGGGTTCTTAGCCTCATGATGAACTTTGATAGTCCTAACTTTCCAGGCTATCTTTGTTTGTTTCCTATCTCACCACGTGTTAATCAGGTGCTGAACAGACAACACAGAAATACTTTCGGAGCATGTAACAGTATGTAACATACAGTACAAAATGTTCTCCGTCCCAGAGATCTATCCTGATTCCTGATTCCCCTCCTAAGTTGGCGCCGAAGAAAAATCGTACATACACTAACAATGAGATACCTTCCTCTCACACTACTTCCTGTTGTTTATGCGCAGCAACATGCGTTCGAAACCAAGCAGGAGCTATGGGCAGCAAAGTACGGCGCACAGGCAGACCTCAGTTACACGGGACCTCTGAGCTACTCCCATCTACCCTACACACGTTGCCTGGATGATTCGTCAACAACCTTTGACATCGCTGTTCTCGGCATGCCATTTGACACAACAACCTCTTACAGACCAGGGGCACGTTTCGGACCATATGCAATTAGATCTGGTTCCAGACGTCAATCCGCTGGGGCGGGCTACGCGTTGGAATGGATGACGAACCCGTACACCCGCGCAGAAGTGATCGACTGTGGAGACGTAAGTTTCAGCCGGTTATAGGTGTCTAAACATATTGACAGAATGTTCAACAGGTCCCTATCAGCCCCTATGACAACGCGTTAGCTGTTGATCAAATGGAAACTGCGTATACCACCCTTTTGGCACGACCCGTGAATGGAAGCGCTAGTGCGCGCACCGCAAAGCTTGCACATGACGGAGTGGAGCACCCTCGTATACTGACATTAGGTGAGCCCTGGACCATGGTTTCGTTTGCGGATATGTAATTGATCATGTACTGCTAGGCGGAGACCATACCATCGTAAGATAGCATAATGCACTTACATCCTCCGGATCATATGTTAAACGATCCCTAGGTGCTTCCTATTCTTCGATCTCTTCATCAGGTTTATGGACCCATATCTGTCATTCACTTCGATGCACACATCGACACCTGGCCGAGCTTGGGAGGCATTACCGAGCAGTCCAGGGTCACGCACGGGACATTTTTCACATTGGCGTTTGAGGAGGGACTCATGTCCAACACCAGCATTCATGCTGGGATCCGGAATAAACTGCAGGTCAGGGCGTTCCTCGTGTCTTAAATTGGCTCGAGCTCACGCACTTTGAATGGACAGGGCCCTGAGCTGATCGAACACGATGAAGAAGTTGGCTTTGAGCTTATTATGGCTGAGGATATCGACAACCTTGGAACGGATGAGATTGTCAAGCATATCCGACAACGCATCGGCAACTCCCCTGTTTACCTGAGGTGTGTCTCGAGCAATGCGTTGCTGATCACAATATTGATTCCCGCCTCAGCTTTGACATCGATACCATCGGTCTGCAGACGTTCCAATCGATTCCTAATCACTGTATACTGATCGCTCTCTGATAGACCCTAGTCAGGCACCTGCAAGTGAGCGCAAATATCACTAGAGGAATTTTGAAGTTATTGATGCCTAGGTAGCTGGTACACCAGAGCCTGCTGGATGGACCGGTCGAGAAACCAAGCGAATCCTTCGAGGTCTTGCTGGATTGAACTTTGTGTAAGATTCTTTTTATCATTCGCGGGCCTGTATAAACAGTTGATGACTCGTTTGTAGTGGGGCTGACATTGTCGAGGTTGCTCCAGCATACGATAATGGTAAGATCCATCTCCCTAATCTGGGAACGAGGGGGCTCACAGTCCAATCCAGCCGGTGATATCACTGGCATCCTTGCTGCTGGCCTTGCAGATGACTTCCTCGCCCTGTTGGTCACCGACGAGCCACCTAAACGACAAGTAAAGCGAAGGCAATCACTCGCTGACGAGCTCTAGAACCCAGAAGACGGCTTTCTGTCAACACTCATGCTAGGTTATTTTTCCAAGGCAAACCGCTGTTTCACAACAGAATACAGAGGGTATCTGAGTAGATGAGGTACTACAGTCAAATCTTTTATGGTCCATTGATAAAAAATATGCAGTACGTAGACAAGCTGCCACCTGCGGTCGTTGCTTATGATTCCGAGTAAAATTCCGTTCATTACAAAAGCAAGCGCTTGTACACGATATTAACACTATCTCTTTCTTCTGTCGTTGACGCAAATAAACAGAATGTATCAATATGATGTCAGACGTAGGGCCTGCCACGATGTTGTAACCAGGTCCTAACACAATGTCTCTGATGAAAAGAATACAATGCTCGTGCTCGGTGCGTAAAATGGCACCTTGACATGCTTAGAAGTAGAAGATAAAGAAGTTTTGGCATGAGCTTGCGGATAGTAGCAGCGAACGGGAATGTTCTGCTGCAAAACATATTGGGAAATGTCCGTGTCAAACCCGTGATCTTGCCTTGTTCCAGTGACTACCTCGAGTGACTTTTCCACCTACGATGAGAATAGGCAATGCAGAATTGCTATCACCGAGAGATCATAATTCCTGCGAGAATAGTATGAGTAATGTGACAACTATACACGGGAGTAGCACAATAATAATAATAAATATCAACAGTCCCACATCCACCTTCTTGCAAGCTTGTTATCCCATCAGTGATAGTAGTGATAAGATGCATGGTTGCGGGGTGCGCCACTGTAACTTCTGAGGTCATGGGACCTGGTCGGCTCGAGTCGATCGCCAAGATAAGACACAACATAGGTCAAGTATAACGAGTACTTCTGCTTGCGTTCGTTATCCCTTTCCGATTCAGGAAATGAGAGCTCATTGTCTACAGTCCCTGCGTACGGGCCTGACCATCGCTCACGGCCCTTGTAGAGGACTACCTCTACCCTGCGGGGACCGAAGAAGGAACTGTTCCACAGATTGATCAAATCTACAACAGCCGAGTCCCGTGAAGGCGAATAACCCCCGGCAAACTTGGGAAGGGGCAGTTTTCCCATCCACGCATGAAAAATACTCTGTAACAGAAGATAAGCTGATACGTCACTGAAATAGTGTTCATAAGCACGTACATTCATAAATGCGCTCCAATCCTGGTGGTAAACATCATGGGTATCGAGCACCGATGGCATGCTTGGAATCTGGTTGGAAAATTGATCCATGCCTTGAATCTTTATCATACTGAACGGAGTGTAAGCTTGAGTGGCATCCGGTGGACGGGCGAACGGATGGGGAGAAGAGTCCGACATTGATTCTCTGTGAAAAGCAATGATGGGCATACGTGAAGATGAATAAAACTCTGGCCCGGTGGGTGCATTTGGAAATGGAGAGGGTACTTGCAACTGGGGATCCAAAATAGGCTGATCCTCCAAGGCATGCCCATGCGGGTATACAATTTGCGGAGGGATAATATGAAGTGAAGGAGTGCGGTGGAGAGAATAGGGTGATCTCGACTGCTGACGACTCTGGTATGGCGCACGTGGGTGAGTGCGAACATCAGGTGAAGGAGTGCGGTGGAAAGGATATGGTGATCTCGACTGCTGACGACTTTGGTATGGGGACGGCACGTGGGAAGCAGGGCGTGAGTGTGACATTGGAGAGGGCGCGCGAGCACTATAAGGAGAGCGCCCTCGGACGGAAGACAGGGATGCTGCCAATACGGTGGGATCAGGTCCGCCAGGGTAAGTGAAATGGGGGATCTCTTTCAGCCTTACAGTTAGTAACATCGAGCGAGCACCCAGAGGCATATAAGACGCACGTTCGTACCACTTCTTAGATACCACATCATCTTCCCTACCCGAAAGATCGAGACCAAACGATCCTGCCGCAAGTCCCTTATTCGCATGCTCAGTACTCAATGGTCGTGAGACAACACTCAGGTGATCCGAGGACTCACTGTATTGGGGAGCTGGGTGCCTGTTAGTAAGATCTGTGTAGCATCGGTAGGGACCCATTGGAGACCATGTACAATTCCTTGGGAGGTCTGATAGCTGTACACCATGATTGGATCAGGCATCTTGTCAACATCGATTCGTAAACCACTTGCCTTACAGGCACCGCCCTGCAAGCAAAATGAAGTGAGCTTAGCAACACGTCTTAGATATGCGTTCATACCTGAAAGGATGCTTTGTAACCTGACCGTCTGCACTGTTAGTGCTCGTCGTGTAGGTGATAGTTCCAGGTGTAATCTGGCCATGTGCAGCCCAACTATGTGCAATGTGAGAATGATCGGGTGGGCACGACTGGGGTTGCGGCTCGCGAATCCTGAAACCTCCTACTCCATCCACATCCATTGTGCACCTTGTTAATGAAGGAAGCTGTTTGAAGGGAAGAAGATCGCAGTGATAGGATGTGATCGTCGCTTCAAACGTTTGGGCGGCAAATATTGCACTCGAGCCACACCTCAGGCTTCAGGGTAGGTCTTCCCCCACCGGTGACATATTTCTGGAAAGTCAGTGATAATGACAGAGTGGGCGAAGCGCCTTACCATGCTGACAACGACAACCATCGTGACTCGTCACTCAGGCTCCAGAGCATAGCCTACTGGCCGCGGCCGCGGTTGTGTGTCATGCAGTCTGGGAAGACTGCCGTGCCTTGGATAAACTATGTAGTTATGTGTCTTATTAGTATCAGCAATACCTAGCTATATAGTGGTTATTCGAAGTGGAGTTCATTATGGCGTCTACTGTTTAGCTATAAATAGCTCGAAATAGCCGGCACAAGAACAGGTGACGGACACAATGAAAGCCTGGGTTGTAAAAATACCGCTGCCCGGCCTAGGCAATATTACGAGTACATATTTGTATTCGTATGGATGAACAGAGGACCCCTGATAATGCCTATGGAACCCAGTCGGCGATCCGGACAGAAATTGAGCCAAAAGGTCGTTTGTCCCAGGTTACAATCCGGACATCCGAGGCCAGATTTTGGGGTCAACCTGGGAGAATCATCCGGACATCAGCGAGGAGGTTGGGGAGCCAGGTCGCCATCCAGACATGGTCGTCATGTCGGAGGGGTGAGGTATGGCAGAATAGTGTAGTGGTAGGTCGGGATGTACTAGTATGCTGTGTCACACCCGAGAGATGGAGTTCGAATCAAGCTTTTTACATACTCCAACACACCTTGAAAGGTAGCGGCTGGCACGCACAGTCATGTTCAAAGATCTAATCAACATACAAATACAGCAAATAATATCATCAACATTTTTTTCTTCAACCTACTCCGACTGCTATCTTTCAATGCCGTCAATTTGCCTTCCTTCCTTCCACAGCTTTTCTATGCCTCCTCACCTCTGCACCTAAGGTGACGCCTACAGGTCTTGAATGTTTGAACTTGCGCCAGCTGACGTCTCCGCGTTCGAAACGCTGCATCATGCTTCACCTCAACTTATCCAAGCGGCCAAAGTATTCCGCAAACGAGTAAACCAGGCTGGACAGGGCGGAGTCAGAGAAGGGGATGAGGACAACTGAATTTGCATATGTCTAATATTTGCCTGAGCTGGACTACGAGTTCCTAGCTACTGTAGCATACAAAAAACACGTTTTTAAGATTTTTTTTAAACCCGGGTCAGAATCCGGACAAATTTTCGGCTTTTGGGGCGAGCCCAGGACGGGATCCGGACAAAATCAGTCAAAATCAGTCAGAATTCATCCGGACAAGTTTGGGCCTCCGCCAACCTGGGTTCCATAGGCATTATCAGGGGTCCTATGAACAGTTCGTAGCTATATAGTACTAGTATTGAATATTGAATCGGGGATGGGGAAAATATAATGAGTATTAGGCTAGTAGGTAGTGCTGCCGTGGTCCGGTCCTGAACCATGGTTCGAACTGGACTTTTGGTCCGGTTCTCCTGTGGTTCGGTCCACGGTCCAGGTGTCAGCCAGAACCGGACCATAGTACGGTTCTCGGTTCTGCCATTGGGCGGACGGTTCGACTTTGGTTCGGACTGGCCCCGAACCGTTCCGAACCGCGAACCGAAAGAAGCTTGCCACATTGTTGAAGCACGCCTTGACACCTTCCTTTGATGATCCACTTTGGCCTCAGGGATTCTTAAGCTTCAAGATTTACTTGTTTCCATCAAATGCAGAGGCCCATTGACAAGGTAAGTCATGATATGCACTGTTCAAACTGATGAATCAGACCACACGTCTCGTTGTGCAACTCCTCCCGCAAGCCCATCGTCCCACTCCTGCGAAACCACCGCCTCCACCCCTAAAATCAACGCGCCGACAAAGACCAAGTTTGCTTGTGCTCGCTATCTTGCGCCCGTTTTCTCATGCTTACTCTCTCGTACCTGTCCTCTTGTGCCCATTCTCTCGTGCTAACTCTCTCCCACCTGTTCTCATGCCACGCCCCATCTTTCATGCCCTCCTACTTCTTGATGTCGCTTGGTATTGAGACCATCGACTGCGGCACAACAACAAGTGCCTGCCATGTTACCTGCGTCTTTGCACACTCCCAGCCACCACCATTCACCACTTCCACGATGGCACAAACACTTGCGGGTGGCGCTTTGGACCGTATTTTCTTGCAACAGTTCTGGACCCTAACTTCAAACGTCGAAACCCGTTGGACTGAGATGAAGGTTACGAGCGGGAAAGCTCGTTTTGAAGCTGTGATAAGTCATATTTGACCAACTTCCTAACTTTGCACCCTGCCATTGAGCACATCATCTACTCCGGTCTCGCCTTGTACTCACTACACGTTCACACACACACAGAGCAGTTTATCAGCACCTACTGTCTCCCTCATTACTCGTATTCTGTGTTAATGCCTTGTGCTTGTTACACTCGAAATGATATCTTGCAAATTGACCGCTGCTTATCCTGACAGATCATTCATATTTAACGCGCACACGACTCGACTCAAAGATATTACCATAGGGTCTCTACCCACCTTCGTAGATGCAGGAGAAAACTCTCGAACTTCTACCTGCGCTCCCTACTGAATTTTTGGGTCCGGTTCGGGTTCGGACCCCAAAAAAACCGAACTGGACCATAGAGAACCGTTCTCTGTGGTCCGGTTCTGGGTTCGGACATTTCATAGAACCGAACCAATGGTCCGGTTCTTGGTTCTCCTCTATGACCCTCTGAACCGGACCGAACCGGACCACGGCAGCACTACTAGTAGGAGTCAGCGGAAATTATGACTCGGATGGAATTGAAACCGGAAACCGTGGCCAGTGAGGCCTAGTGTGGCGTTCGTAGAACGTTCACACGAGAAAGAGTTGATAGGTTTGAATCGTCTTATGGTTCGAACAGGATAACTGTCCTAACTAAGTGTTATTCAAAAGGGGGGGGGGTGTTGGACTCGGTGGTTTCGGGAATGTCGGATCATGACACATGATACGAGCGCGACCGTTTGACAGAGGCACGAGAGAAGTGACGTCGAGTGTCACTCGACGTCCAGATACCAATGTTTCACTTTATCATTCTCCTTACAATGCTAATATACGTATCGCAATGTGTTTCCCTTATAGTCTTCACCCATAGCGAACGAGCATCTCAGTCCCCCAAACAGAGACTGAGATGTGAGTTGTTACATTCGAACTTACTTTAGAACATGCACTGATTCAAACGAGTAGATTGTCTATATCTACTTAGGTACTGTACTTGGACTATGAGTCCCCCAAACAGAGACTGAGATATTGTCTATATCTACTTAGCTCCTGTCTGACCCGCTCGCATCAAAAAACTCTAGAGGTTATGAGCCCTGCTACTACCATGGATACTTCGCTCCCCAGCTCCAATTCCGCGCTCTTCAACATCCCAAAGCTCGCCGACGACGGCCTGAATTGGATAACCTATAAGGGAAGAATGTTGACGGCGATTGGCGCTCGAGGCCTGATGCGATATATCGATGGTCGTAAGATAAAGCCCGTCCCTTTCGAGGTTGACCCGTCGACCGGGAAACCGAGGAAGAAGGATGGCTCGAAGCCAACGGATGCGGAAATCGAGGACCTAGACGATCAGATAGACGAATACCAGCAAAAGGACTCACTGGTAAAACAACAAATATTCAGCACCATTTCCGACCAACTCTTGCTCCAGATCCAGAACCTAGGCAGTGCAGCCTCCATCTGGGACGAGGTTTGCAAGATCCACGAAGGAAAAACTGAATTGGTCCAGATAGACCTCCGCCGCAGACTCCAAGAATTGAGATGCGAGGAAGGAGGCGATGTTAAAGCGCATTTCGGAGAGCAACTACGCCTCCGAGAGTTGCTTGCAGGGATGGGTGCTAGTATAGATGATCGCGACTTCTACGCAATCACGTTGGGCTCGTTGCCTGAATCCTACCGCCCGTTGGTCTTGTCAATAAACGCAGCGGCCAAAATAGCCACAAAAGTGCTTACCCCTTACGAGTTGATCAGCGTGGTCACTGAGGAATACGAGCATCGTCAGCTCTCAGAATGTCGAACTGGGAAGAAAGGGAGTAACTCAGCTTTTATGGCTCGAGCCACCCAAGGGAGTCGCCGTGGTACTGGCAACTCCAACCAGCAGAACGCAGACATGGTGTGCCACAACTGCGAAAGGAAAGGCCACTACAAGAGTGACTGTTGGAGGAAGGGAGGCGGCAAGGAAGGGCAGGGTCCACGTCAGAAGAAGGCGAGACAGAACAAGACTGCAGCAACAGCAGCGGCCACCACTGACTCACAGGATAACTATGCATTCGCATCAATAGACAGCATGCATGTGACTGGAGGGATGGACTCACCTGCAAAGAACCGCACGGCAATCATTGATTCCGGCGCTACCTCCCACTTCTGCCCAGATAGAGACGAGTTCATCACCTATATCCCAATAAAACCCCTCAACATTCGAACTGCTGATGGCTCGATGATTAGTGCCATAGGTCGCGGTGATGTTAAAATGAACTTACTGCTAGGATCCAAGTGGACGAGGGTGACTTTCAAGGACGCACTGCACATGCCCAAAATGAGCTATACGCTCATGGCGACGAACCATATAATGGCCGCCGGGTTAGCAGTCCATTTCGAGGGGACCAACTGCAGGATCTTGTCCGCGGGTCCCAAACGGCAAGTAATCACTGAAATACCTCACGTCGACAGCCTATATACCATTGCGAGTCAGCAAGAGCATCACGCTGCATTGGCAAAAGGAAAAGTCACCTTGGGAGAACTCCATTGTGCGCTGGGACACATATCGCACTCGGCAGTTAAGTCAGCTGTCGAAAAGGGATTGGTGGAAGGCGTTGAGCTTGACTCCGCCTCGGAACCAGAATTCTGCGATGCGTGTGAGAGGGGAAAGGCAGCAAGGCTGCCGTTCCCCAAGGAGTCAAAGTGTTGTGCCCAGAAATAC